ATTAATTAAGAAAAAAATAATAGCATTCTTCAGGAAAAGCAAAAAAAAAAAAAAAAAGAAGCAAGATCAAAACTCCAGCTAAACTCTTAAGCCATTATGAGTGACCTCTAAACCACAAACAATGCTAAAGTTCTTGGGAAAACTTGGTTTAACTGGCACTCACAATGCATATTAACTCAGAAGCAGAACTCTGCCAAAAATGTAAACCAGTCACTGTTTATAAATGTGAAAAGATAATTAGCACATGAGCAAGAGGAAAAACACATCTTTGGTGTCAACCCTTCTGTGAACTTCACTACAGTGATTGTCGTTGTGTTTGCTGGTTTCTGCAGAGGTGTGACGGACAGAGAAAGGTGCACCTGGGGTGAAGGTGCAGCTGTTTGTAGTTTCAGGCTGCAGCAGGCTGTGGCAGGTACAGCTGCGTTCGCTGTTCATGATTCCTGATTTACAGAGCCCCTCAGAGTCAATGCAAAAGGAGCAAGAGTTACAGGGGTCCCCAATTCTGACTCACGTAGACTCGCTAGAGTGCAAAAAACAAAAACAAAACAAAGCCCTTCAGTGTCTGACTTTCTCCAGGTTCACTAAATAAGAACCCCTGGGCATGGGACCTGGGTATCAGTATTCCCTAATAACCCCTGGTGATTCTGATGCACAATTAGGTCTGAAAAACTCTGTATTAAAACAAACTTCAGCAGCTGTGTCCAACCCAGTCCTCTAAGATGATAGAGGTGGTAGGAACAGGATTGATGGTCATGGAGCTATTTCCAATTTATCGAGAAGTCCAGAGAAACACACATGCAACCTACAACATCCGGGGGCAGGGGGAGGGTACTGTTTGTTTACTTGTTTATTGGTGTTTTGTCTGTAATTATACTGGCTCAATATTGTGTCATGAAAGAAAGATTTATTTGAGGAATGAGAAATAAAGAAATGAACTATTACATAAGAAAGCATTCCTCAGTGGACAAATATCTTCAACCATGGACTCCATTTGGGGAGAACTAAGATCTCTTGTAGATAGCTGTGGTCTTTGTTTATATAACATCCATTCTCCTTTTGAAAACAATGCTCTAATTTTGTTTTGGGAAAAGATTCCTCCTCTAAAGTCAGCTGGAGTCTAGCTAAACCCACCACCTGGCTCTAGAATAAGTATGTGACCCAGACTTGGATAATTCCAGTGTCACCTCCCCTCGGCCACAATGGCTGGTTCAGGTCCTTGAAGATGACCCTTATCAGGCTTTTAGAACAATCATGTGTCAGCCCTGAACCTTTTCTAGAGGGACAAGAAGGAGCCACCAGGACCATCATGAGAGAAAGGTCTGTGCTAACATGAAGGCACTGCAGAGCAAAGCTGAAAATAGCAAGAAAGACGGAACTGTCCAGCTGACACAATTGGATCCCCGAGATACAGATCAAGTCAGCAAGCTCTTGGGCTTGTCAGTTATGTGAATAAATAAGTTTAGTTTTATTAAATTTGTTCATTCATTTGGTAAAAGTCACTTTGAATAAAGTTTCTGTTACCAGCAACCAAGTAAGTGTGATAAACACAAGATCATTGTCACTGAAATTGTCAGAACCAGTCAGAAATCTGGAGATGCTCCACCATTCCACAGGCAGCTTTTGTCCTTTTGTTTTACTAGGCAAACTAAAGCTTTAATTTCCTAGAACCAGAACCTCAAAGAAATTTCTAGCCAGTCACTCAATCCATCAACAAGTATTAAATGGGCTCCCCATCCGGGCCTGAAAGTCTACTGGGAATGATAGGAAAGAAAAAGAAGGCCTGGTTCCTGCCTTCAGTAAGCTTGCAATCTCTTCAGAGAGACAAAGCAGACACATTAGAAATATCACATAATTTGTTCCATCTGCCGAAAATACAATTTAAATCTAACCTCTTTTGTAACTGATGGGTTACATTGTTGTGTCTGATTCATGGCTAGAATTTTAAAATGGAAACATGAGATCTCTGTTTTGAGTGTTTGTATGTCATACATGTAAGGTATTGTCAAAATTAATTGGTAAAAGAATTCTATTTAATTGGCTGAAAGGAATTAAGTGCTTATATGAATACTCAAAAATATAAAGGAAACTGGCCAAGATGAATTTCAGGTTCACGTTGTCTAAAAAGAATTCAGTGCTGGTTATTAGTATTGAAGCTAGCTTAAGCTTCCTGGTTTAACTAATATAGACATGTCTTTAGAGTCATCAATGTTAAGTACAATAGTTCTGTTGTACCTGGGCTTATGGGGGGGTCAGATAAGACCTTATTGTATCTGCTACAAATTTATCAACAAGGAAAGTAACTCAATGTGAAAAAAAAACTTTCAAAAAAAGAGAATTAAACAAGAAAAGAGCTTTGGGGTAAAATCTGTAAGAGTAATCATGTTTTGAGAATGTCGGCCTAAAATTGTCTCTCCAGATTTTGGTATTTCAAACTTAAAACTAAGTTAAAGAGAACTCACTGACTATCTGTGTCATTTATAAAACGCTAAAACATTTATTGCTGGTCAGGTCTAAGTTCATCTACCTTTGCCTTCTTAGGAAAAAAAAAAACTAAAGCATAAGTTTCCAATCAGGAAATGCTGATATGACAACCAAATCACAATTGCCTGCTTCTTGGTTTTTGTCAGAGATTGAAGGTTTTTAAGGGTTAAAATTATAATATATGTGATTAAAGCTACTAAAATATTGAAAATATTTCAATGTGCTAAAAAAATAAGATGTGCGTTTTTAGTAAAAAAAAAGATTTGTGGAAAATAAATACTGAGAAAAGAATTTCATGCATAATCAGAATTTTCTAAGATTGGATTAAATTTAATTAGGTAAAAATGTTTTGTTATTAAAAATAGATAAAAAAGACTAGAGTTTTATTCTCTCTGTTAAGAAAACAAAGCTCGCTTAAAATTCTGCTTTTGATAATGGATTGTGCCTGATTCTTTGCCTTTAAGTGATCGTGTTTGCTTTTAAAATCTTTGGTTAAGTAAATACATATTTAACAAATTCTAAAAGTTCTTTGGACCTGCAGCTAACTTTGAGATTTTTTAAAGGAACCCTGAGGCATCTTAGGCATTAAATTAACTAGGATTATTTGGTATGTTAAGTTAAATGTAATAAGTCATAATTCTAGTAATTGTAAACACCTCTATCAACTGCAGGTGTTTAACCATGCCTTTTTTAAAAAGTATTTTGTTGTTTATAGACAGTTAAACTGATGTCACAAAGATGCTTCATCTTTAGAAAGATTCATAGGAAGTCTATAGAAACAGTGGGTAAAAATCACTTACACCACCATCTCATTCAAGCCAAGGACATAAAATACTATGGGACTTAACTATTTTATACTAATAGACCTTTGTCCCCACATTGTGTTCATAACTTGTCTCTTCCATGGGTCCAGATGGCTGCTGCCTTGTTAAAATTCACCTGCCCCCAGATCTTCTATTATATCTTCAGGATACATCTAAATACGTGACACTCCCCAAAATGAGAGCCCAAAGACAAGTGTACCCCAGGAAAATTTCAGCCCTTACATGAATGCTTATCTTTATCAATAACGCGTGGCACAGGGAAGCCTGTATATTAGGACATTTGGTCTCATTTACAGTTAATAGTCATAATTCTAATCTTCCTCCTTAAACTTTTTGCTCTTTAACTTCTTGGTCAAATTTGTGTCTTCCAGGTTACAACAGTCCCAGATGATGACGATGTGAGGATTCCAGCCCATAACCGCTCTCAGATGCAAAAACAAAAGGCTGCCTGCCCCAGGGGCCCCTAGATTAAACATTGAGAGATTTTTACCCTCTGATAGGCAGGGTCAGCACCCCTACTCAGCCATGAAGTAGTTTTAGAAGATGGACCATCACCCCTTTGCACCCCTATAAGATTATGGGAGTAAAATCTCTGGGGGGGAATGAGACTGGAGGGAAGGGGGCAGAGCACAGCCATTCAAGAAATGACAGCAATTAACGCCAAGATGGTGGAAGATTCAACTCCCAGTAGACCTTGAAGCTCAACATGGCGGGAGATTTGACTTCTAGTGGACCTTGAGCTTCATTATATACTCACTGTGATATATTAGCATGCCAAATGGCACTCCCACAGATGTCAGGACCATTCCAAGATTAACCATAAAAGGTCAAAAGGGGGGCAGTGGCCCAGTTCCTGGCAATCTCAGCCCTTTCCCCAAAGTAGTTGGAATAACCCTCCCACTTGTTAGCATAGGAAGCTATGGGGCCATAAAAACTAACCACCCCACACCTCATGGCAGTTCTCCCTTCTGAGTGAGGAGGACCACACGCTGTCTGTGGAGTGTGTTTGTACTTTCACTAAGCACCCAACCCCCACACCTCATGGCCTTTCTCTTGCCTTCTGAAATGGCCTGCACTCAAAATGAAATATCACGAAAATCACGTAAACATCAGTGGAAAGAAGTATTAATAAGCACGCCCTAAGTGCTTTCTGGGAGCCGGACGTCATGTGTTGTAAATGGTACCCAGTGCCTTCAAGGAATGTGTTCTCAAGAACACAGAGCACAGATTCCAGAGATGATCTTAGTGCGTCACAAAGCTCCATGCCATAATTCAACAGCAAACATGGTACCTCAGGATCAAGGTCATGAGCAGCATGATAATCACTTTACTAATTTACTCTAAAAACTCAGACTCCCAAGCACCACCAACTTCAATCTCAGAGGCTAATCTCCACTAAAAGTTAAACCTCTAGGGTTTGAGGTCTTCTCCAAACTCCACCACCAATCCCATGACTTCTCTGTTGCAATATGTCATCCTCGAAAAAATAAAACCACCTCTGCTGGTCCCTCCTTCTCCCTCATTCTCCAGCTTTTCATTATCCCCCAACTCCTCAGCATCCTTTAATGCTCCATCATCCTCCAGCTCTCCCCCACCTCTCCAGCTCTGTAAACTGTTTGCAGCTCAGTTTCCAGAGCTGCCCAAGTGTATTGTAACATAGTTCTTGTACTGCAGATAAAGGAGGAGAAGATGGAGGGATGGACACAGGAGAGCAGATATTGGATCCATGGTGATACAAACCTCTATTTTCTTTCGTTTTCCTCTGGTTTTCTTTTTTCAATTGAAGAACAGTTGATTTACAGTGTTGTATTAATCTCAGGTGTACAGCTTAGTGATTCTTTTTCATCCTCTGATTTTCTTCCTCCTTTCAACATCCAAACCCAGATTCCTTTGGAAACAAACTTCTATTGAGTAAAGCATTGCTTTGGCACTTTTAAAGAGGAGTTTGGGAAGAGGACAGAGTTCAGGGGTAGACAGCCTGCTTAGCATGCACGAGGTCCTGGGTTCAATCCCCATTACCTCCGTTAAATAAATAAACCTAATTACCTACCACTAAAAAGATTAAAATAAAAGAGGAGTTTGTTCATGCAAATGACTCTCCAGCCTGTGCGTGTCTGTGTCTATATGTACGTGTGTGTGTGGGTGTGTGTCAGTGTGCTAAGGGTTGATATTTTAGATCTTTGGGAAAGGAAGGAGGCCATGAGAGGCTGAGAAAAAAAAATCACCACATAAGGACCCTTGTGTATTTTATGCACTCCTTTATCATTTCTTCAGAGGCTGTGGGCAATAGATCACAGTAGCACCGCAAATGTTCACATATCAAGAACACAAAGAATGCCTCAGTGACAGAGTCAGAGAACAATCCAAGAATGAAAGGTTCTCTAGGATCGATCAGTTCTGCTGCCTAACTACCTTAATTTTCCCTATGAATTCTCGGTAATCTTTCTGTGAATGTGCTGAGAACGAACACGAGGCATTGAAATGGAAATTACACAACTGGACTACACAGAACTCTTCTTTTTAAATAAAAAGTTGACATTTAATTGAACGATGGAATAATAATGTTAAAATATTGGACAGCATGATCCCACCCACGCACCCCAAGTGGTCTCTCACCACGTCCTTGGCTTACCCGCTGTTCAGTCAGCAAGGCTGTTTCATCAAATTGTTTCAGAGCAGAGGTGGGGCCACAGAAAGCAAAACTGGGAGTTGCTTCTAGGCTTTTGGAGTCAAAAGCCTAAACAAGGAAGGAGAGGAAATAGAAAGGAATCATAATCAAGCCAAAGATTGAGGGTAAAAAATCACGACAAAGCACACGACTTTTCCAAAGTCCTCTCGGCCAATTTAGAAAACAAATTTCCCTGAATGTCACTGAAGTAGGAACAAAGGAAATGCAATGCGAGAGAGAGACATCAGTGTCCTCCCAAGAGAGGGTCACTGTCCATGTTCCTAGGCTAAGCCCAAGGCAGAAGGACAAAACCCCTGAGAAGCTGGAGAAATCTAGGTTGAACCAAAGAGGCAAAACCTAAGAAAAAAAGCGACCACTGAGGACTCTGAGGCAGGTAGAGCTTTAGACACTCTGGGAATTTCCTGCTTCGCATTGCAGCAGAGGAGAAGGAAGATAATCGATTTTGGTCAAGTGTGGCTTGGAGGTAGCAGGAGCACCATGGACCTGTGATTGTGCTCACCGGAAGAAGGCTTATCTCCATGGCAACATGCGTAGATCAACAGCTGAGGTCCAGATGAGACAGGGAATGTCATAGCCATTGTGGATGGAGATCACTGAGGATCGGATAAAGCAAAGGATGTCTTCAAAGGCACCTAAATGGGAAAATGATATCGAGGACCAGACTTTGCCTGCCCCCATCCCTGCCCATGCACACTCACCCATAATGCAAGATCTTTAACATTGAATAATTTATAAAGGCAGAAGCAATATCTGTTAAGCTCCTTAAAAAATACTGACATATTTAAGCCATCAAAACCCATGATCCAGCTGAATAATAGGGCTCAATGCACTGTTTCTAAGGAAAAACCTTGTTTTTCATATTGATGATCACAAAATTCTGTAACTGATCTCTTTCTAAAATGAAGATGATCAAAGTTTTACAACTGACAAATATGATCAACAGTTACCACATGACCTTAAAGTAATAAATGCTAAACCAATCACACTTCCCCTCCACCTTGAAAACAGAGACATGACTGAGATATTTGCAAGCCAGCAGGCACCAAAGGCATTTCTTCAAACAATGTTCGATAATACCACCATCTTCCCTGTTCCCAGAGCAGTGAGTGGGTGGCTTAGGGCCAGAGCAGAGTAAACCTCTGAGCTTTTATGATGGGAGTAAATTAAAAAGTATTTATAATGTCACTCATTTGATGCCTCCACACTCACGTACCATTTACATCATAGAATGGCATGCTGCTTTTAAATGCCTTGTGCGTTTCTGAGGTCTATGCTTTGGGTCATCAACAAAAGCTGTTGAGGACAAGGATTGCTTCAAATCCAATGCTGGCTGCCTCTTTATTTTATTAGATCTTTCTCCTGCATTTGACATCATTGTCCATTGACTCTTCTTTAATCTCTTTGCACTTTGCTCCTTGACTTGAAACATTGGATCATTCAACAAATAGTTACTGACCACCATGTGGCAGGTACCACCCTAAGTCCTAGGAGTACTACTATAAACAAGAAGACAAGGGTTTGACTCTTATTTAATCAACATTCCAGTGCAGGAAAAAAGAAACAAAAAAAAAGTAATTTAAAAAAGAAATATATGAATGACATAATTTCAGATCATGATGTGTGGTTTTATTTAGGGTTATCAGGTGACTTGTGAACTGAGACTGGAATGATTGGAATGGATCAGACTTGCAAATATCTGGGAGGAATGGGAGTAGCATGTGCAAAGGCTCAGAGGCAGGACCAGCCAAACCTCATGGCGAGAAGACAGTGTGTCTTAAGTGACACACTGAATGGTCCAGAGGGGAGGGGACATGGCTTGGAGAGGGAGGCAGGGGCCAGCTCTGTTGGGCCTCTCCCTGATTCTCTTCTTTTTTCTGATCATTCCATCTTAATCTCCTTCCTGAACACCTCCTGTTCTGCCGGTCTCATAAGTAGTCGTGTTCCCCAGATTTCTCTCTTGACTCTTCTCTCCCTTTCAGGCTTTTCCCAGGTTATCAACAACCATTTGATGAAAACTCCAAAATCGTTAAGTTTAGTTGTAGAATGTGTTTGTTATGACTCTTAGGCCCAAGTGGTGGCCACAGACCCACCTCTGTGTCAACAAACAAGAATGGTCTGAGCCTTATGCCTGTACAACCTCTAGCCAGAGGAGTTGGGGCAGCAGAGTCAGCATACATGGTAACTGTATCTAGGGTCAATCGAGAAGAGCTGTGGAGGGCTAGGAACAGCATCATCTACAGGAAAACCAATTGTGAGAAAGGAAATGTCCTAACATGGAGCTGTTACACCTCTTCAGAACTTCTCCCAGGGCAGGGTGCACACTGCCCTCTTCTCTCCTAACTTGCTTGAAGATCAAGCTTCCAGGGACAACAGAACATTTATCCCTACAAGACATCTAATGGGCTATTGGAGGCATTCAATCAGCAGTTAAGGTAATGTGCCTTTATAACCCTACCCTAGGTTAGTCTAGATGGGATAATTTCATAACAGGAATATTTCTGTAATGTTGAGTAGTCCTGTAATAATTATAAATTATTTGGAAAGGCTACTTACTGTTCATTTCCACTTATGACATGGAAGCCAATGGAGGAAATCTTGCACTGTTGGCTGTAAGTCTTAGACCTCCATTGCTTTGACACCAGCATGGTCCTTCCTTCCTGGTCTGTCCATTTTGATATAGCTAGGACATATGAACTCAACAGACCCTAAACTGAACACCTCATTCTTCACCACAAGCCTAACTCTATACTCCTCTTATACTTCTGATTTATTCAAAGATGATGATTATACTTTCAGGCACCCATGTTAGAATCTAGGAGTCAATTCAGAGTCTTCCATCTCCCTCATCCCCCACAGCCAATCAACTAACAGATATTCCCATTTTTATATCTCTTAAGTACATCCCCAAATCCATTCCTTTCTCTACTTTCTCATAACTTCTGTTCAAGTCAGGTTTCATCATCTTTCATTAAACCATTACGATCAATATTTCATTCCTTTTTTAATGTTAAGTAATATTCTGTTTTATGGATATACCATAATTTTTTTACCCATTAATTATTGGATGGACATTAGGGTTAGTTCCAGTTTGGGGCAATTGTGAACAAAGCTGCCACAAACATTTGCATATATGTCTCTGGTAACTAATTGTTTTTGTTTCTCTTGAGCAAATACTTAGAAGTGGAAATGTTGGGTCATATGGTAAGTGTACATCTAATTTAATGAGGAACTGTCAGACTGTTTTCCAAAATGACTGAACCATTTTGCATTCCCACCAGTAAAGTATTAGAATTCTAGTTGTTTTGCATCCATGCCAACACTTGGTATTGTCATTCTTTTTTTAATTTGTATCAGTCTTTTCTTATATATTTCAGAGAAGACTGATGTCTTGATGTCTAGGGCAGATTTAGGGAATATGCAAGCATTGTAGGTAACAAGAACCAATCTCCAGATAAGTGTTTAAGCAATGTGG